ATTAAGTTGTGTCAAAATACAATGACTATACAAACATATTGTGTGTGTGTGATGTCAGAATGATGTGATTAATTCTTTTCTTGAGCTATTCTGTGCAGTGTGGAAAACCAAAGATTGAACAATGACATGCATCCTTCTTTGTTGTGTTCATTTGTTTAAGACCAATAAAATGTTTCTTTTACATTATACTCTGCCGTGCACGACGACAGCTAATTAGACTTGTTTTGAAAATGCAACAACATGGCCAGTGGGTAGATTATTCCACAAAGAATTACTATAAATGGCAAGTAAATCATTGTTTGTGGAGAGAAAAACCTTGGAAGGAAAGTAGGAGCTGGAACAATCGATACACCTACCTGCAATTTCACTACAGTGGAAAAGTGCAGTCAGTATGTAAACCTTTGTCTGTTATAAACAAACGTTGTTCGCTATAATTAGGCTGCACGTACGATCACTAAATAAAACAACTTCTAACACTGTTGTTCAATTTAAAATTAATAACATGATTATTGTTAATTTTATTGAGAACGTTTATTTTTAGCTAAAAAGCCAAAAAGCAGATTTTCAAAAGCGTCAAACTATTTCTTAAAAACAACAACATGAGCCAGCTGCTTCATGCATTACACAATGAGTTATATACTACAATGTGGCACCATTAAAATGTATGTGACCACATGTGCTGGCTGAGGAATACAACTGATCCACTGTTGAATGCAGCAGCGGTGCCGAAGATAATCAAGATTTTACAGTTTAATTAGCAAAACGGTGGAACTTAGGAATCTTGAAGCACAAAGAAGAACAGACAGAAAGCAAAGCCAAGCAGCCACTTTAAGGAAATAGGTTCATCAGTATATTAACACAACAATATTAATGTGATTACAATAACGTATTAGAGTGTTAGATAGCATCAAATGCGTTTACAAAAAAAAACTGCATCCCACCACGTCACCATAACAACTGCATTCAGAGCTGCTGTTTAGAGGAAAACATGTCTTATCTCCTTAATTCAGGGCCTCGATTATTGCTCGGCTAATTAAAACATGGAAACAGTATCGCTTAAATGACCTCATAAGGAGAGAGGCGCTGGGACCGAGACAAACACGCGGCATCGTGTGCGTTCGCTTTCCCGGTCGTCTGGATTCACGTGCAAATGCGCACAAACGCGCGCGTGCAAAGTCAAATCTCAGCGGTGCAGGAGCAGGTCCATATTGATCGCTCATTAATATTTATCAACCCATAGAGCCTGTAGTGAAGAGGTTCAACAGTCTGAAGGAGGAGGCAGAGCGGTCGGGAGCGAGACAGGAAAGAAAGAAGGCTGAGCATGAACTATGAGAGAGACTGGAGAAGGAGCACAATGGATGAGCTGCGACGTAGGGGAGAAGGTCAGACTATTTTTTAAAACCAGGAATAAGAATTAGAAGAGAGGAAATCCAGGCAGTTGAAGTGCGGAAGCCAGAAGCAGGGAGAGAAATGGAGGTGTGGAGACCTTGAGACCTCTCTCCTATTACTGCTGAATATTAAATAAGGCAGGCAGAATCCCTGGAACAAGAGTACAGTGGTGCTCATCTCTGCAACCAACATGTGTATAACTTCACCTGGTGGAGGATGTGTGTTTCCACTACGATCCGCCACAGAACTGATTATTCTTACAAATACTTTTTTATCAATTCAGTTAATTCAATTCAATTAAAATGTTAGGAAATAATGGAAAATGTCAAATTACAGTTTTCCAAAGTCCAAGCAATAGAATGACACCTATTGGTGAACTGTTGAAGACAGTACAAGAATAATGTCACCCACTCAGCAGCACTGAGCTACAGGGGGGAAAAACGTTCTGGCTTGTTTGTGTGCGACGACGGTGTCCACTCACAATACTGATGGTTTTGTTGGAGCATTTGCACGTAGCGAGATGAGCAAAAATGGACAATTCACTGAAAAATGTAGCAGGGGCCTTACTGCCTTACTGCATGATCCAAATCCTATGTAAAATGGGAAATTCTTAGTGCGGTGAGTTGCTGCCCGAAAGCGGTTGTTGCTTTGTTTGGTATATGTTAACGTATTAGTAGTGGAAGGGGAGGAGAAACCTGTGTGTAATGTACCTACATCTATAATCTACATCTGGTACAATCTACATAAGGAAGAGAAACGTATGGTTCAATGAAGAAATCTGTGACATAATAACAGAAAACCCTTATTTATATTCCTAGATCTGCAAGCAGAGACGTCCCAATCCTGATACATTGATAAATCACTACTGGCTAATAAGAAAGTTGATTAAATCCAGGGCTACCGTGATTATTCTGCATAATTAATGACACTGACGGCAGCAAGAGTCCAACTTGGTCCAGACTTGTGTAAAAGACTCCAAAGCTTTAAAGGTTCCAGAGGTACAAGCGCATAAAGAGAACACATAAAGACGGCACATCTGTCCACTTCTCTCCTGCTCTCTGTGCTCACACATACTGGATTTTCATTCAGCTGAATTCCCAACAGGTTTATTTCATTTTCACATCTTTCAATTCCTGTTGTCAGACAATGGAACGAGTATGAAACAGTGACTGAAATGTAGTTCGTCAAGACTTCAAGTTAACCAGCAGTCACTTCCAAGTTGCTGCTCTGCAGCGCTAAAATACCGATTTTATAGCATTGTCTGACAAACTCACTAAACACGTAAAGTAAAGCTGTTATGCGTTCATAAATTTCGTAGCTACTTGCAAGGCCAGAGAAAAATTGTACAATAAAAATAAAATTAGTTCCTTAAGCTGCTCAGTGCATGTAAAATATCTGCGTACATGTTGTACTTTGCCTTATACACAGACCAACCGTTTTGTTAAAGGGTTTAAAAGAAACGTGAATGGACTGCAGCAGTGGCGGCTGGTTAATACAGAATAATAACCCCCCCACTACTACTGACCAGATAAAAAATAGTTCTCAAATGTAAAGTTAAATTTGAATTATTTATAACAAAATAATAATAAAATTAATAATAACGGTCGTGTTCTTTTGCTGTATTAACAATATTTGCATAATTAACAGATTTAATATTAGTCTTTACTGTGTGTTTACTAATTCTACATTTCCTGGATGCGGGGCGCGGCCACATGACATACGTAGCTCGAAAAACTTTTCATGATCATGTGACCTCGGCCCGGGCTCTGATTGGCAGCTGCAGACTTTCTCACGGGGCGCAGCTCAGTGCGTCCTGGATCCGTCCACTTTTGCTGTAAGCCAATTAATTTTGTCTTCATTTGCTTTTGTCTTCTGTGGTTGGACATCAAAACTGTCCTTTGACGTTCTTACGACTGCGCTTTCTGACACCGTCACACGGCCTTTCCCCTCCTCTTCTACTAAATGACAGCTACAGTTGTGACGGCTTAATGCATCGGCCTGCTGTCAATGGAGAAAAGACTTCTCATAAAGAAGACTGCATGTAGAATACATGTAACTGGGTTTAACCTCAAACAAATCTGACATGAGAACGCCCTAGTTTATTATTTGTAAAGTCATTTTTGGTCACACACCTGTCAGAGTACACACCACAACCACCAACAGCAGCTACCGCAGTCGGCAATGTGGGGCGTTCAGGAGCATCAGTAAATCGTAGTGTCAGTCGATAAGAAAATGTTCAGCAAGTCATATGTTTTGCCTTTGACCAGGTAGGAGGAGCAACAAAAGGAGAAAGTGGGTCATATTGGTGCTACCAATGAAAAGTTCATCTGGAGCCCTGAATCGTGTTTTTATTTATGTGTTTTGAGTTTGTACACATCCTTTAAATAATGATAAAAGTTTGATGAATGGTTTTTAAAATTTAGTTCTGGTCAGTCTTGATAATGTTAAATTATGATTAGAACATCCTCCAAAGGTAAAGGACAATATGCATTCCTGTAAATCGATGTGTCTGATGTAACTCATATTCTAATTTCTGATTTTAAATTAAAGGTTATTTGCAGACTGCGCCCCCCCACCAACAAAAGTTTTCACCAGCCGCCACTGGACTGTAGCGTACCAGTGACGTACAGTTTGTCAAAAACAGGGAATTAGGAAGTTGGTAATTTTGCTGTTTTGGAGGAAAATAGTTCATTTAGATAAGTTAATTGATCAGCTAAACAGTTGATAGATCAATTAATAGTGTTGTGCTATTTTGACCATGTCAGCTTGCTAATGTTGCAGCTTTTCTTTACTACACATGGGCTCGACAACCCAATTATTCATTTGCACATTCAAGTGATAATTAGAATGTCATTGCGAAAAAAAAAAAAAAACTATTTGAGTACAGCCATGTAACTGAGATCAGAGAGAGTTATTGGCAAAATACAAAAATACATGCTGTGCACCACTTTGTAGCGAGGGCTGACTGTCGCTTACACTGTTTCACAAACATCAGTTGTGACAGCAAGTGACATCAGCCGAGACATTGACGACAGGCCAAAATTAAGTCTCATTTCCTCAAGTAAACATCCATTAACATAATAGCAATAATTTTAGCTCATAAAATCCACATTTTTAACCCGGGGCCTTCAGTAATAAAACGTCCAATTTAGTAGCTACATCTGGTATTTCATCGTGTCAGATCCATATCAAACAGGGACATGCCCATTTGCAAAACATAAAAATTGCGTGCCCCATTCCCTAAAAACATAATCCTTGAGATTTTCATGAACCTACACCCTATTTTTGAAACTATTAAAGCTAAGACATCTTTCTCTTATAGGCATTCATTAGTGCTTACTAATGTTTTTTGGATGTAGTGATGTTGTCATTTGCAGTTTCACTCGCAATTATGATTTGATAAAATGTGAATTTTTCAAATGAACACTGATGCAGTATGTGTAAACTACTACACATGGACGTAGCATCCTTTAAGTAAACACTCTGCAGCCGTATATTGGATTTATCCAGAGGGACATTCTAATATATTCAACAGCCAGTTTACATTGACAGATGGTAAAGGCATTGGGTTTTCACTGGGGTTAAAATGTTGACTTTCTGTGCACACTCACCATCATTGAGGTCCTGCAGCAGGTTTTCCTGACCAGAGAAGTCCAGCTTGACTTTGATGCAGACGGTCAGTGTCACAGCCTGGCCAGGCTTTAGAGGCAGGTGTGACAGAGCGTCCTCCAGCTCCCAGCTCACAAATTCTCCAAACACTTTCTCTGCACACACACAAGAGAAAACAATACATATTTCAATTTTTAAAAATGTTAGAAACTATATACTGAGGAATTTCTGATGCATAATGAGTCCTATTGGGATAAGATCTGCCAAATGAGCAACGTACTGTTTTTGAATGCAAATATTTTTGGTCAAAGAAAACAGAATGACACTGTTGTGGTTGCAGCCACCTGAAGGCAACGTGCACACGTAAGCACTTTGCAGAAAACTTCACTTTCGGTCGGTGGTTATTGTCTTGTGTGGTTTCTACTAAATGAGACGGGCAGAAAAAGAGAGGAGCATCCGATTGTACGTGCTGCGGGTTGCACAACACAAAGGATACCAGTGTTACTATGATGTTTCTTTTGCAATGTGCTTTTAAGAGAAACAAAGCTGCTGATTGGTCTCCTACCGACGAGTCCCCGGGTGCCCGTCACTAGAGCTGACGCTCTAATTTATGCCTCCAACCTCTTTTACCTGAGACGAATGACTCAGCTGCATCCACTTCAGCCAGAAGCACCAAATGAATGATACACCACCTGAATAAAGCATGTGCTCCGTCTGTGCAGGTGAGCCACTCCTGCTTTGCGGGACTGCAGCAACAGCGAGCAGATGCAAGCTCGCTGAAAGAACAACAGTTTACACATCCCTTCTTGATTCATAACCAAAGCCTGTAAAATCCTCTAAGAGGATGTGAATGCAGGCAGCATTAAATAAAGATTTTGTGAATAACGCTCCACTTTAAATATTCATAAAGTCAGAGCTTCTTGCGGTGAATTAAAAGAGAAAAAAGAGAGAGAGAGAGGGAACAGAGAGTGAGGCAATGGGGAAATGGCTTAAAAGACATTGGGCTCAGTCAGGAAAAAAAAGACAAGACATTCATTTGAATATGCGACATCAGGCCTTGTAATTCAACAGGTAGCCAGGATTGTGGATCATCACACAACTTCATTATGAGTCACAAGAAATGGAAGCCACAGTGACTTTTGAGAAATCTTTCACACCTTATTTTAAGTAATATCCAGAGACTAGTGCTATTCTTAAATACAATACGGAGATCATTTCAGAGCAGATATGATACTTCCTCTATTTCAAACGCCGTCTGCACTTTGTGTTTTTGGCTATGATTACATTTTCTTTTCTTTCTTCCCCAGTAATGCATCTGTTGAGAGCGTAAGGGGCACTGCAGCAGGGCTTTAAGGTATGAAACAGACACAAATCAGAACCAATGAGTCCCTGTGTAACCGGAAATATATTCACAATGACAGGTGTACACAAAGCAGACCAAGGACAATACATTCCCAGTCTATTAGGTACACCTAGCCAAAACTAGACAGTAGTCCTGCAATACGTCGGAAGCTTTAATTTGTGAGTTAGAGTAACCAAAGATACCTGCTTCAACAGTTAACATGTTCCACCACTTATAAAACAGAGAAAACAAGGTTTAAACATGTAGTTACATAATGAAGGGGTTGATCAAGAACTCATGATTGAGCAGTGGTGTAAAGTAACTACGTATGTTTCCTCAAGTACTGCGGTGCAATTCTGGGTTGCGAGTACTTTACTTCAGGACTGTTCTGCCACTTTACATCGCCATTCAACTCTGATCTAAGGCTAACCCTACACTTTATACTCTGCATCTAATTTATAACTTAAAATACTATTTTCTTTGTATATTTAGATCAATAATACAAAATATAGCCAACAGGTAAATTATGATGTAGCCTATTATGGTTGAAAAGTGCTGCAGTAAAGCCTTAACACTGAATTAAGATGAAAACTTAATGATTCCCATGTGGGAGGAAATTTACAAACTAACCAGCAATAAATGCAAAAATGTATTTCATCTTTACAAGCTTCAAAGCTAAAGTGACAAAATTACAATCAAGTAATATAATATACATTATTCGGGCATAAACCATTCTACATAATGAGTACATTTACCATTGCTAGCGTCTTTAGTAGTCTACATTTGGATGCTAATATTTGTGGATCTGAAACAGGCTGCAGACTGGCTGTTTCAAGCGACCAATCAAAGAGCAGAGTTATGAGCCACTGTCCTTCCTCCAAAGTCTCAACAGTTGATTTTGTGGTAAGCTGAGCTTGCATCGTCGCAGTTCTCTGCTCGCAGAGCCGCATTTGTGCACACAGCACGGTTTTCTGCTCGTGGATGCTGCTCTGAACTCGCATCACGCTGCTTTTCATGTGCACGGTTTTTGAGCCTAATTAAGATGACGCTGATAAAGAGCATTTGAGATCTCCTATCTCAGCTACAGTTGCTTCAAATGCATCTAATTCAGCTCAGCGAATCACATTGATAGATTTATTTCACGTTAGTGTTGGTGAGCAGGACAAAGACTGCAGCCATGCAGGCAGCCTTGTAGTTTAAGCTAAATTCTAAAAGTAGAATAGTTAAATCCTTACACTGTCAATGCTACCATGGGAATATTGTTAATGTTCTCTTTTCCATGTTCAGAATCTTAGTTTAGGGTGCTAACAATTAGTATTACAGGTGTTTTGTAACAAGCCCAAGTAATGAACAAATGAAAATGTTTAAATGTTGATGTTAAAAGACGATCATCAAAGTTATTACAATTCATCCTGACTGGAATATGAATGTCTGGACACTTTGTGTCATTCCATTGGGAGAATATCAAGATAATTCAGTGCATGCGTGGGTTTGATAGTAACTTTGACCTGCTGGTGGTGTGAGGTTTAAGAGGAAGAGAAAGTCAAGTAGGACAATGCTGCTAGTTGAAAACCAACCCAAAACTGAATAAACCACCAGTTAGAAACATATTACACGATCAGGCGGAAGCTAGTTTACTGATAAAAAAAAAAAAAAAAGATAGAAACCTGCTATGCTATTATTCATTGCTGGTGGCAGGATTTGCCATATAACACAAAATTAAAATCTGTATAAATGTCTATGCAGCGACTCATTGGATGTAAGTGACGAGCATGAGTTTGATAATATAGTGGAAAGATGCAAGAATCGTTTGCACATGTCGGAGACACAAGGAAAGGTTAACTGTAGGACACACTGTAAGGCCTTGTCCACATTGATATGGATAATTTGCAAAACAAATTTTTTCTTCTAGGCTTAAAATTGTGATTTTTTTTTTTTTTTTTACGTCTAATTTAAAAAATAAATAGTTTGCACCAGACTCTATTAAAAAATCTTGAGCTCCTTGAGAACTGACAGACTGCTTGACTCAGTCAAGTGCCAAAAATCCTTTTCAGGTGAGCTGCAGGCTGTGTTAGATAGAGTAGAGAGGAGAGAAGTATAGTAATAAATTAGAGCGATTAAGAGGAAAATAAAACATGCTCGAGTGATAAAATGTATTAAAACGGTATAGAGAGGAGCAAGTTGTTGAAAGGTCCATGCAGCACAGTGAAAGATGTGTCCAGAGTTGATATGATGAGTTAGTCAAGGTTTTAAAAATGTACATCTATAGCATGTGGAGCCACCATGTTTTTATAGTACTGGTACACTTGGAATAATGTTGGACATCTGTATTCTAGTTTATGTTTATATAAAAAAAAAAAAAAAACTTTCACTTTTTCTTGTTTATGATTAATAGATTTTTGAGTTTCCTCTCCCTCTAGCCACAGTTGCACTGTTTCCATAGAGACGCAGGACTTTTATATCGCAGTGAAAAATTAGCCCACAGTGAGTGAAAATCTGACAGGAGCAAAAAAAAAAAACAAAAACATCCAGAAACTTCTTGCAGTTCAGAGGGCTGATGTCTGCAGAAACAAGAAAATTGCGTTCTTCACTGGTTCTTGTTGATGAAGACCAGTACCAGAACATCATTTGTAGTCACATTTGCACTATTGTGTGTATTGAGATATTTCATAAAGCAAAAGTCATGAGAACAGAATGTTTTTTTTTAACCTAACTGGACAGAGATCCTTCTCCATAAACATTGTGTGAAAGCAAACAGTTACAGAGAAAGTTCCTGCCCGGCTAACGTCAGAAGAGCGGAAGCATTTTGGTTTCTTATTCAAGTATGAAAACGATAGCCGTGTTGCAGAAACAGGATGAGGGATTCCTGACATACACAGAAGAAACACAAATGTCTTATTCCACATCAGGCGACTCTGGTACTGCAAATACACAGTCATCACAAGGATTCCGATGTTGTCCAATAAAAAAACGTCTGCACGGGCAGCTGACAGCCAGCCCTACTCACAGTGACAAAACCACTGAAGCAACATTAATCCCCTATTTTCCTTTTATACGGGATGTGCAGAGGAAGGTGTTTTGTCCTTACGAGACATTTGATATGAATGTGCATAAAAGTACTTTAGAGGACAATTTTACTGAGCTGATGGTTATATCTATAGAGCGCAATAAAGTGGCAGCGATGAACAAAAGGTCTGACGGCAGCTCATTTTATGCTATTCAAAGACAACTCGGTTTATGTTTACTCTTATTTAAATCTAACACAATAGATTACTGTATTAGGAGCCTGTTTTTGTTATCTACAGACCACGAATAAATATTTATTTGAGAACTCCTGTCTCATATTCCAAGATGGCTGTGTCTATGCTATGGTAGAAAGAGTAATGTTTTGTTTGTTTTGCCACAGATGTCTTCCTATTGTGACTCTTCTCATCTTTTATTCATTCAGCTCCCATAGAGAGTGCAACGGGCTTCAGAGAGGCTCTCAACGGCGGCCTGTCGAAAGCCACTAGTAGGTTGTGACTAAGGAGGCGCCGACAGGTGGGAACAAGTAATATGATGACCAGGGAAGGCAAGTCCTGTCACCATGGTGCTACACTGTGACACTGCTGCATGTTGCCTTGTTATTCCTGCATCAAAGACCTCCTGCTTCGTGATCACACATGCAGACAAAGCATAGAATCACACACAGTATACAGATAACCCCAAAATGACTTATACCCATGTCAAATTTTAATTCATAGTTAATTTAGTTGACGAATAGGTTTCTTCTGGATGGAAAAGCCATAAACAAGTGATAACGGACAGTCAGAT